TTTTAAATAATGATAAAATAATTACCAGATTTTACTAATTACATGACATAAAGTCATGATTGTATTAAGGAAACGGAGGCGAGTAATAGGCTAATCTCTTTTTTTTATTCCTCAGCAGCAAAGAAAGCTAAGGTATTTGTAATATAGAAAAAATTTACAAAATACCCTCACAGGGTTAAACCATTACATCACTATATCCTATCCAATAGGAACAGTCCACATAACATATAGTCCCATGTGACCTCCATCTCTTCCTCTTTCCTGTTGATGCCGAAGCTAATATTTAATAATCGCAATTAACCAATCAACTGAAACATCAGACAACGTGTAGGTAACTGAAATTCTTGGCGACGGATCCTTCCTAGAGAGAGCCAGATCTTTGGAACCGATCCTCTCGAACTGTGGAAAATGTCAATGTTGTCATGATATCATAACTTTCAGGCTAGAGGGGGACAGAGAAAACAAATGGTAAAATAGGTTCTCCCAATTATTTTCATATTATCATAGTATTAAATCATTTTAAATATAATCCATTACTATCTGAATCACACATTTCTATGGTAACTGTTGACATTTTTAAAAGTCAGACATTAAACAACAAGGATTCCACCATGTACTATGAACAACTTCTCACATATCTGGGTTGGGATATATAAAGTCCAAACTTACCATGTCTGGGTGGGCTAATACTCGCCTCCGTGTCCTTAATAAAATCATGACTTTACGTCATGTAATTAGTAAAATCTGGTAATTTTATTAAAGGACACGGAGGCTCTTTTTAGGCTAGTTTAAAGCTGTGAAATAACCGCAGATGAAACATGTTCTGTAGGTCTAAAATAGTATTCTCTAAATGTAGATTCACAGGACCAATCTGCTGTTCTGAGAAGGTCTTTCAATCTACAGCCCAAATTGAAAATCTTTGAAGCCATGGCTCCTCTAGTAGAATGAGCGCCATATATAGATGTATCCACATCCGCCAAGGTCATTATTGATTTCACCCATCGGGCTATCGTGGTCGTGGATACCGGGTGATGAGGCATTTTGGTGGCTAAAAACAATTCTTGATGTATTGGACTACTGAATTCCCGGGTTCCTTTTTCGTATTCCTGTAGGCAAGCTAACGGGCAGAGGTTGACATTATGTGGGAATGCCGGATAGGAAACCGAGGTAGTCAATGATTTTGTTCGTCTGGAAATGTTGAATGACACTCCCGTGGGTGTGGAAGATCGTGCATCTATGTCTAATGCCCGGACATCTGAGACCTGTTTGCAGGATATCAGGTAAAATAGCATGGCCAGTTTTGCCGATAGTTGTTTAAGTGCGAGTCCCTCATTTTGTGGCCATGATTCTAGCAAACGAAGGACTAGGTTCACATCCCACACCGTCGTGTATTGAGGCTGGGGTGGTCGAGCAAATTTTATGCCTCGTAGGAGCCGGCACACCAGCAGTTGTTGGCCAGCCGGAGTCCCCTCTAGGCCTCGATGGCCCGATCTGTAGACATTAATGGTACGGTACGCCAGTCCTTGGTTATATAGATTGGTAAGGAAACATAACAGGTAGGTAACAGGAGCACGTACAGGATCCACCTGTTGTTCCATGCACCAACTACGCTATTGTTTCCAGGCATATTGGTAGGATCGTCTCGTTCCAGGTGCTGATGCCCCTGCCAGTAGGTCAAGAGTGTCCTGTGAAACATCTGGTATGACCCAAGGTCCCTGGAAAGGAGCCATGCTAAGAGTGTGAGGTTCCCCTGAATTAGCAGGGGGTGTGGGTTGTCCTTTGGATCCAGTAAAAGGTGTGAGACGTTGGGTAGTAATCTCGGAAGGTCGATGGACATCTCCATGAGGGATGGGAACCAAGGTTGCGCAGTCCAGAATGGAGTTATGAGGACCAATGATGTGCGGGCTTGTCTGAGCTGTCCGTGCTATGAGAGCGAAAGGAGGAAATGCATACAATCGACTCCTCGGCCAGTGTTGGAGGAAGGCATCTGCTGCTAGGGCGTCTGGGTCTGGTCTGAAGAATGTTGGTAACTGGGAGTTCAAAAGAGATGCAAACAGGTCGATGGACATCGGGCCCCAGAGCATTTGAAGTTCTAGGAATGTTTCGCGATCCAGTCGCCAATCACTGGCGTCTTTCAGATGTCTGGAGTTCCAATCTGCTACTATATTGGATAGACCGGGGATATATTCTGCTTGGACCGAAATATTGCGATCCAGGCAAACTCTTTCGCCAGGTCTGTCATGATTCGTTATCTCGTGCCACATAGGTGGTTGATGTAGCGGACTGCCGATATGTTGTCCATTCGTAGTACTATCGAGCAATTGGTCGTGATTCTGAGGAGGCTCTTCAGAGCAAAGGAACCTGCCATGAGTTCCAGGCCATTGATGTGCAGTTCTTTCTCTGATAACGACCATGTGCCTCCGCTGGAGATAGGCCCACAGTGCGCTTCCCAACCGTGTGTACTCGCATCGGACTCTATGATGAAGTCTGGGGCAGCTCAGAAGATTGCTCTGCCATTTCATGCTTCCATGTGTTGAAGCCACTAGGTGAGTTCCTGTTTGGCTTCGTGGTCGAGAGGAACGGTGTCAGAGTATGAATGCCCCAAGCGTAAATGTGTGGCCTTTAGCCGTTGAAGCGCCCTGTAGTGGAGGGGTCCTGGAAAAATTGCCTGTAAGAAGGCTGAGAAGAGGCCGATTATCCTGGCCAGTTGCCGTAAGGTTAATATGGGATGTGACAATGTCCTGCGTATATCGCGTCTATATTGAATCCCAGGAATTCCATGGTTTGGGTTAATATTGATTTTTTCCAATTGATTAAGAATCCCAAATTTTGTAGGAGGGACAGTGCCCAGGAGACGTGTTGTCGTAGTAGTTGGGTGTTGTGTGCCATGATCAGCATATCGTCCAGATATATGATCATCCGTACACCCCTGCTGCGTAGGAGAGCTACCACGGGCTTTAGCAGTTTGGTGAAGCACCATGGTGCCGATGATAGTCCAAAGGAGAGGCATTGGAACCTCCATGTCGTCCCTTCCCACTGGAATTGGAGAAGGTTCTGGCATTCTTTTGCAATGGGGATTGTGAGGTAGGCGTCTTGTAGGTCTAGTTTGACCATCCAGTCCTCCAATCTGAGGATGTCCCGAAGGCAATGGAATCCCTCCATTTTGAAGTGGTGGTATCACATGAATGCTTTTAGGGGGCATAAGGTGATGACTGGACGCACCCCCTCCCCCCCCCACAGGGTGTTGTATAAATTCGATTTGGTACCCTAGGACGGTATGTAGTGAGACAGTCTGCCCCCCACTATAGACATACACAGGGGTGGTAGTACACTTACCATAAAGCCGTCAGCCATACGAGGTGCCCATGGTTCCTCGTGTTTGCCATGATCTGCCCCTGTCACGATTCGGGGAACCCAACACGCTGGCACACACACACACACACAAAAGGTGCCGTACCGGACCTTAGAGTGGCCGGGCTAAGCACACACAGAATAGTCAGGAAACAAGCCGAGTAGGGGAACCAGAAGACAGAATAACGTGAAACGAGCCGAGGTCAAAGGGTAGGAGAAAGTCACAGAGTCAGATAAACAAGCCAGAGAGTACGTAACCAGAAGCACAAGGTAAGTAGCAATACTAGAAAGCAAAGACCACAACAGGGCAGGGAGGAACAGGAAAGGTAAGTATTTAAACCATAAGGTTAATTCTGATTGGATAATTTCCAATTAGAATTAACAATCACACGTGGGAGATATCTGAGGCACTGTGCCTTTAACGCCGGGTCAGGTGACTGACCCCGGCGTGTACAAACTTGGGCAGTCTCCCAGCGTGCAGCGTCATGTATGCTGCCGCTGGGGGACATGGAGGAAATGGCGGGCGGCATCCGAGGCTGGAAGGATGCCGCTCACCGGACACTCGAGGAGGAGGGGACCGCGGACGGCTGGAGGGTGAGTACCTGGAGGGTGAGTACCGCGAGCGGAGTGCAGCCTCCCCACGCAGCCGCCCACGGGATCCCGACAGCCCCTGACCGGGAAAAATGGCTAAGGGGGCTTGGTCTCCGGAGGTTGAAAGTGTGGAAGGGCCTCGATATCCTCGGGAAGAGCGGCCGGACAGATGGCCCCGGTGTCTGCCGGACCCGCCAAAAAATTTGGGGGAGAACACTCTCTTTAAATTTGTTTGTGACTTATCCAACGCCGTAAAGGTGCTGACGTAGTTACCCAGCTCCTTTACAAACGTATCTCCGAAGAGAAATCCTTTTGCCTGTTGACCAGGCTCAGATATGGCCATATTAACCAGTTTTGGTTCGATTTTTATAAGGAAGGCCTTTCTTCGCTCTGTGGCTAGAGCTGCATTAGCATTGCCGATAAGGCATATGGAACTTTGGACCCAACCCCTAATGTCCAGCAGATTGATAGGGGTCCCATCAGTTAAGGCCGCTTCGACCATCTCAAATATTTTTGCACTGGGGCCTAACGTGTCCAGTAGCTTGTCCTGGCAGTGGCATAAGGAGTAGTCAAGACTCTTTTTTTGCCTTCCAGACAGATTGGGGTCTATGTCTGACGTGGCACAAGCCATGTCGGGGACCGTGGGGCGCGGGCATTCCGCCCTAAGTTTGTTCCTTGTGGCCTTGTCCAGGGTTTTCCTGCTCCTGGCCGCTATATAACGCGCCACGTGCTCGGTCGGGAACCATTCTGCCGACTTTGGGTTCTGTAACTCATCAGGATCAAATAGGGGTTGCCCTTTTGGGTCCAGAATAGCGGATGTGTCCACGTTGTCTATGGTGGGTATGGCTGTTTTGCGTGTTGGGCTGTGGCACGTGGAGGAAACCTCCGATTCAGTGGAGCCGATGTCATCGGACTCGTTCAAGGCCTCCTCCGAATCCGAACCCAAGTCAAATGAGTCTGATAGGGCTTTTGCCCTTTTCCATGTCTGCGCCTGTTTTGCCCGGTGGGTGGCTCTTTTTCATGGGGGCCCCACAACCTCAATGTTGACAGGACGCAACCTGTCCGTAAAATCAGTTTTGGAGGCATGCGCACCCAAGTGGTGGGTCTTTGCGGTGGCTTTACGGCCGCCCTGCGCTATAGGCTTATTTTCAGGGGCCTTAGGTTGGGGCACGTCAGGCTTACGGTTAGACGCCATGATGGCGTTAGTAATGGAGTGGTAAAGAGTGTCAGACATTGTCCCAATAGCGGAGTAAATAGCCCGGGTGACCGATCTGGTCATAGTAGCGTCTAAAAGGGAATGGAGTTCCTCCGAGTTTAGTTGTTCCATAGGGGTTAAATCATCCCCTTGGCTGGATTGGGGTCCAGGCTCCGTGGTTATTGGATGCCTGGAGACACTCTCTGCCAAAGTGGGGGCAGTGCTAGGGTGATCTTTAGGGGTCTGCATGGTATTAGCAGGGGAGAACTAAGCAGGCTGTATAGTACAATAAGAAAATAACAGTGGGCCGTTATTTGGCTGTCAAATTTAACAGTCTTCAATCACCCACAGCAGTGATAGGTAAACAAATTGCAGGCAAGGCACAGAACAAAAGACTGAGCTGTCAGCTTACAGAGTGTTCCCTCAGGAATGGCCGCTGTGGTGCACTGGCAAGCTGACAGACAGTTGTCTGGCCCAATCAGCTCGCGCCCGCCCCTCAGTGGGCAGCGCGAGCCGGGAAAAAAACCGTGGCAAAGTTTTGCCACACACAATATGTCCGCAGCGGTGCTCAGCCGCGACTGCGCATGCGCGAGCGGCACTCTACCGCGGACCGGGCCCAGACGAAACGGACAGTTCCCAGGAGGATGCCCCACGTCTGGTTAGCCGGCCGCCGCGACCGGCGTGAGATTAGGGTAATAAACTACCCGGAATGCAAGGGAAACGGAAGGGGGCAGCAGGCTGAAGCAGCTCACCCCTAAGTGGCTCCCATAAAGGGGCCAGCACAAAACAATTAACAGTAAGACATTAAACAGTTGTAAATTAAAACATTGTACTCAGTGAACAGTACAGTATTACATCAAATATACAGATATAAACACATGCAGTAAAAACCTGTCAGAGTGAAATTAAAATGGTGGTACTTAGCTGAGGCAGCAGCAAAGAAAGAGGAAGAGATGGGGGTCACATGGGACTATATGTTATGTGGACTGTTCCTATTGGATAGGATATAGTGATGTTATGGTTAACCCTGTGAGGGTATTTTGTTCATTTTTTCTATATTACAAATACCTTAGCTTTCTTTGCTGCTGCCTCAGGAATAAAAGAAAGAGATAAGCCTAATAAGAGCCTCCGTGTCCTTTAATAAAATTTGTTTTTTTCATACTGTATGACATTACTGCATTCTGAAAAAATGTTTATGGGAAAATAAATGTTTGTTTCCTAACTAATATGTATATTGAATGGCACTGTTCAATTCATTCAGTCCTGATTAGGACTCCACCTTAAAAATTCATACTCACATTGGACCCATTTATCATTACTACACATATGTAGGGTAAAGGGCTGTTATGCTTATGCAGATGAAGTACATAAAATCAGCACCTATATTGCACAACTGACATCAACAGACTTATGAGGATCCGCGACTTCAGAATATAGTTGGTGGGAGGACTTGGGAGGGAGGGTCTGCTGCTGATTGGCTGGAATGTGTCTGCTGACTGTGAGGTACAGGGTTAAAGTTTACTCAATGATGACGAATAGGGGGCGGATCGAACAGCGCATATGTTTGCCGTCCGCGGCGAACCGTTCAGCGAACCGTTCGGGATATCACTAATCAATATACATAAAATGTAAATATAAGATTGATTTTTGATTCACACTGGTGGATTTAAAAATGTGCTTTGTACAATACCATTATATTCTTGGATTAAAATGTGTTATATTGAATCCCAGCAGCGTTGAATCCGCCTCCGCCCTTCATCCTTCCGATAAATGAGTACCCTTAAATTGGGTAATAGTAACAACCCCTGGATGTTGGGCCAAGGTAACATCCCAAGGACATACTTGAAAACCAGAGTGATCTGAATGTGCCTTTCCTGGCTAAATACTTTTTTATTATTAGCTTTATTATTCTTCTTATTATTATTATTATATCAAAAGTATAAATACAAACATATAAAAGCAAAACATAACTTGTGTTCATCACAAAAGTGTGAAGAGCAAATCTTCAGGGATATCATAATATGCAATCTATTTTCCTGCATTATGACAGTCAGTGCATGATCTCTATTTTTGCCATGTAATATATCCTAGAAGAAATATCACCCAAAGAGCTTTAATATTCTGCACAAATGATTATCCAAAGATTTATCAACCATGACAATGGCGGCTTACTAATAATCTATTCTATATGACGTCACTACTTAATGCTTTTATAGGTAGCTTATGGTTATATTTAAAAGCTCAAACATTTCATATTCTAGTAACCTTTTAATTCTATAATTTGTTTTCATATTATTAGTATTAGATGATTTATAGGAGTCAAAGTTTGAAGACTATCAGACAGACACCTACCAATCAGATGATAAGGTGCATTGGTACATATGAAAAACATTGGCAACCAATTAAAGAAATTTTTTCTCAACACTGGCCTATTTTACAATACGATACTGATCTCAGTCCCCAAGTAATCCCGTATCCAAGTATCACAGCACGCAGGTCCAAAAATCTTCGGGACCTTTTAGTGCATAGTCACTTGGAAAGAGAACCAGTTTCGAAAAATTGGGGATCCATAGATGCGGACATTGTAAAGCCTGTCCTTTTGTCACACCCTCAAAAACAACAAAATGTCAAAATACCCAGAAGGAATACAAAATTAATCATTTCATTAACTGCAGTACCACCCGAGTAATCTATATCATAACGTGTACCTGCGGCAAACAATATATTGGGAAAACATACCAAGAATTCAGAAGACGCATATTACAACATATCAATTCTGTGAAAAATCACGATCAGGCCACTCCGGTTGCCAATCACGTTTGAAATTTCCATGATGGCAATGCTAAACACTTGACATTTCAAGCTCTCGAAAGAGTTATTCTTAATTCCAGAAAAAGAAACTTCAACTGAATACTGTTACAAAAAGAGTCCAGATGGATCTACGAGTTTCATACGTTAACACCTAATGGCCTGAATGAGGAATTTAATTTTACCCCATTTATTCATTAATTATTGTAGATGTATGTATACTTCTAGTTTATTTTGATGGTAGTTAGAGGGGTCATTAAGCTCTGTATTGGTATGACTGCATTCCACTTTGATGGCACAACGATGGGGATTGCACCACGATCAATTTTATTAAACTTGATCCTCTAGGTCCCTAACCATCAGTGTAATCGTGTTAAGAATGTAGTCCCTATATTTATGAATAGGGGCAAATTCGGGCATCTAATTAGACCGTTATTGGCTATTGGTTGCTGTTTTTCCCATTCATTATGGTACGGGCAATTATTAATTGCTATATATTGTGCCACGATCAGTTTTTTTATTAAACTTGATCCTCTAGGTTCTTAGCCATTAGTGTTATCGTGTTACGAATGTAGTCCCTATATTTATGAATAGGGGCAAATTTGGGCATTTAATTAGACCTGTATTGGCTATCGGTTGCTGTTTTTCCCATTTATTATGGTACGGGCAGTTATTAATTGCTGTATATTACTTTAAGAAGGGCCTGGAACAATAGTCATATCTTTTCTCAAGACATTGCGATAAGGCACGATTTAAGTTTCACTTAAATTATCTGATATTTTTTAGGAAGGCTAAAAACTTTTGGGTACAATAGGAACATGATTAGCCAATGGCTCTCTGTATTGGTGACATTTTCTACCTAAATGGAGGGCTCCCTTTAAATTGGGGGTTGGAGTTAACATATGTATATTGACATCGCTGTCACCTAAAAATATATTTTTTATATATCGGAACTTCAAGAGCTGTTTCTACGGCTGCCTTATGGATCTTATTAATAAGCACTTTTAGCATAATTGTTTTCAGTATTTTTTTGTATTTTTTGTTACCATAATCTTTTCTGGATCCCGATCTGGATACATCCGGGCAGAATGATTCCTTTTTCTCCCGCTTTCGTTTATTTTATTATTTATTATTTTTTAATTTCTGTAATTCTTTGTTATTTTGAGGAATTTTTGTTAGGAATTTTTGTTTCTTTCGATTTTGGATCATGACTCTTTAATGGACACATTTTGAATAAGACTTTCATTATAAAGTGTCTAGTAACCTGTTGTCAATCGGGGGCTAAGAAATGTCCTTCCGATAGGCACCACAGGGATTAAAATTTCCCTCTTAGTTACCAACGATGACTCTTAATTAGCTATTATACACGTCAACGTTGGGGAAAACTCTGATTGGTCAATCAACTCATGACGTTTTTTTAATTCATTCGGCAGCATTAATGCCTGAACATATAAAATGGAATCTCTTCCCACACATCGGTTCCCCTCTGATGAGTCGTGGGCGAAACGCGCGCGTCAGGGGAGCTCGTTGTTCCGATACTGTGGGTCTAAGACCAGATCATACCACGGCTTTGGAACTCTGAGTAACTTAACTACTCCAGCTTTTGATACACTAGCTATTTTGACGATTGGAGAATTAGACGCTAGGTTCTTATTTTGCGATCCTTTGGGACACGAGACGTTACCACATTTTCTTTAGCTGCAGTGGCTAGGTTTCTATTCACTTTTGCTGATTCATCTGGTTATATCACGCTTCAAGCAGGCATTGGAAACACTGTATCTACTTCCTATTGGGACAGTGTAGTTTGATATTTTGTGTGTAAATACTCTACCTGCCACAATATTGAGCTTTTATTTTTACAGCATATGTGAATTGCAAAACATGGTTTTGCACACACTACTGGATGTTGGTTTCTGAAAACTTCTGAAACAAAACCTCACCATTGATAGTATACTTGTTTTGGATTTTAACATATTTATCTTTCACTAATTTTTCTTCCTATTTGGCTAATCTAGCTTGCTCTAGTTCCAATTGGGAATTTGATCTGTACTATTAATTCTAGTAGTGGATAATTATGTTTATTTATATATATACTCATCTTGAATAGTGAATTCACTCAGGATACCTTGACATTATATGGGTTCAAATTCAGACCCAACGATACTGGTATTTCTCCTCTTTCTTCAACATAAGTCCATTCAAGAACATTATGTTTGTCACTAGAGCACCGTAATATCTATTTTATCATTATTAATAAAAGTTAAATTTTAAGGGCACTCATTCTCCTTTCTCCTCACTAATTCTTTAGTTCATAGGGTTAACCCCTTTAAGAGTTCCCTCTAAGCTTCCTTTTTCCGTATTATTTTCTTAGATGATTTATAGCCCTATATCTTGTTTTGTTTGGCTTTTTTTTTTTTTCAATACTGTTTTTATTGTGAATG